CCAGCCACGTGTTCTGTGTGTCCTGACAGCTAGCAGAGTAACTGGCCCTGGCTGGCACTCAGTGTCTGTTGGTGGGATAAATGTAGGCTCTTCTCATTGTGAAGGACTCACTTCTACTGGGTTGAACAACTGCAATCAAGAAGTCTAACGCCTTACATGGAATAGAACAGGGCTTCAACCCTTTGGTGGCGGAGTGGTTATAGTTGGGTTTTCTGGTGGGAAGGAAAGAATCAACCCCATCCGAACTGAGGGGGATTCTCAGGAAAAATGAGACTGTCTGATGCCAACACTTGGGTCTGATCGTGGTTCCTTTTGCCCTCTATGGGGCCTCTCCATAGAACAAAAGGTACAGTAGAGAGAGAGAACTCGGACTGGTGACTGTAACAGTCACTGGTCTCATCTGTCTTGGGATATCCCTGCATAAAAGTGTAAAAAAACACATACACTTATTCCTGCCGTCCTACTCCCGTAAGCAGGAGGGAGTGCAGCTTTCTCTGCCTTCTTTTTAGGGAGGACAGGATGCTCCTGATTCCTGAGCACCTGTAGACCGCCAGCACTCCCATTAACATCCATTTGATCCCGACGACCTCCCCAGGAAGAAGATGCTACATCCTCGGGTCACAGGTGAAGAACCCAGTATGTAGAAATGTTGTCATGGCAGAGACGACTGCCTATTTCAGATCAGGGCTCCCTCTCCCTTTCAGAAATCACAGGACTGGAGCTGGCACTGGGGCACAAAGGGTTCAGTTGCTGCCTGTGATGCCAGCATCCCATAAAGGTTCCAGTTCAAGTCCTGGCTCGCCCTCTCCGTAACTCTAAGCTTCAGATAAATAAAAGATCTTAAAAAAATCACTGGACTAAGTTCAAAGCAAACATACAACAGATACATCTCTTTAGCTTGGGGTTAAAATTCTCTAGCAAGCAACAGGTTTGTTAGTCATAAATATTTAGCATTGGAAGAATCTTTGCTGTTACTGAATGTACTCCTCCACCTTCTTACATTTTCTTTTTCCAAGTCTGGTATTCTTCCTGCTACATCGCTAATTTACATGTTTTGAAAAACATGAAACCCTTGCCTCACAAAAATATGTTACAAGTAAGCCTATTTTGTTTTCAACATTACCAATTTAGTGTAATTATTCAGCTTAAATTATTAAACTTATATCATTACTTCATACGATTTGAGCAAGTTTATTTCCAAAATGATTATAAAGCCACTAATAGGATTTAATAATTTCCATAAATCATTTTGATTTAAAGGTAAATTACACTAATTATTATCTCCAGGCATGAAGAAAATTCTGAGTACAGAAACAGAGATGATAATTAACCATTTTTTCATTTTTAAAAAACTTAAAATATATTCCTTCACTGTTTCAGAAATAACACATTGGAAAATTCCTGAACAATACAGATTTCATTGTTTATGAACCCAGGCTTGCTCTTTGGAATTTTTTTAAATTAACCATATCAGACAATTCTATTAAAGAACAAACAATCCTTTAAAATTTTTTTCTTGCTCTTTGTTTAAATATGGCAAACTTAAGTCAGTGAACTTTTTTTATGTTTGACTAATTTCAAAACACTGGTTAAAAAGCCAACCTAATTCACTTGTGTTGGAAAAGAGGAAACATAGTTGCAAGGTGTTTGTTTTGCACTGTTTTTAAAGAAAGCTATTCTCTGTGAAACAACCCATTTCAAAGTTATTTTGTCATAGCAGTTCTTTTGTTTTTAGCCAAAAACATACTGGTAAATATTCATCCTTGAGAATTTTTAAGATGTTCTCAATGACTGTTTAATTTGGTTGTGCTACTGTTAAAGCACACATTTTAACATCATAAAAAACAAATCTCTTGAGCAGTCCCTGTGCCTCAGGCACTGTGAGGAGCACCTTGCATATATCCGCTGGCATATGGTGAATACCACCATTTCCCCTGAGAGGTCACTGCTGCACATGAAGTTAAGCCCAAGGCTGACACTTGGTCAGTGCTACAGCCAGAACTCGCCCAGGCAGACAGCCTGCACGGTATCGGGTCTTACCCACTGCATACTTGGTCCTTTTTGTACTAAGTACTTACACGACCTTTTTCGAGTAATATCTAGAAAGCAAAATCCATTCTTTGAAGAGAAAGGGGTGTATTATAAAGGAGTAAGTGGCTCACAGGCCCATTGATGAGGCTGAAGAAACAAAGGGAGAACCTCCGAGAACACCTACAAAGCCGTCCCACAGGACACACCCATCACAGCCTCGGCTGCGGCCACCTTGCCTTGCCAGTCCTTGTTTGTTTTTATTTTACTGTTTATCATTTTCACCTGTGTGAAAGGTAGAGCGAGAGAAAGATGATCTTGCATCTGTTGGCTCACTCCACAAATGCCTGCAATAGCTATGGAGTGAGCCAGGCTGAAACCAGGAGCCCAGAGCTACATCTGAGCTTCCCCCATGGGTGTCAGGGGCCCAAGTACTTGTGCCACCATCTGCTGCCTCCCAGGGTTCATTAGCAGGGAGCTGGCTCAGAAGCGGAACAGCCAGGACTGAAACTGGCACTTTGATAAGGGATACAGTGGCTTAACCTGTACCGCAAAGCTCTGCCGATCCTCATATTAATGCTGTGTACATTAAAATATAATTTATTTCTTTTACTTTCTCAGGAACATCATGTAAGACATACTCTGTGTACACATACATGTGTGGGAGATATCTCTATGCTAAAAATTCTGTCACTTGTAGTTTCTGCTATTGTGACTCAGGCTAATAATCTTGGACAGTTTTGCTAATTAACTTTAACTTCCCCTTCCTGGAATTTTTGCTAAATATATAATTTCAAAGAAAAAAGTAGCCTTCCACTTGTCTCATGCAGCGCAGGCTTCAGGATGGTTATGACCAATGTGATATTCTCAGTAAGAAGAAGTGGGTCTCCAGGAGGAGCACTCCCCTAGGTTTCCTACACATCCACCCAGAATGGTGCTTCTGGAATGAGAACCTATTTGGGCCATTGCACTTGTCCTGTCTCAGGAGTCCCCAGGCCCCGTGTGTGAAGAGCCTTGCTCTCTGGCTTGACCTGTGCAGCCTATTGCATTTGACTTCAAAGCCTCAGAATCATCCCTCCCTGAACGCCACAGGGAGTTTACTTGTGGTTCCTTTTACCTTTGAACCACTGCTGTTCTTTATCCATCACGACTCTGCTCAGATGTGACTCCTCACTGACCTTGACCTTCTCAGACTGGCTATGAGACTTCTCACTTGTCCTCATATTACCCAGAGATCCACCTGCCCTTATCACACTACATGGCAGGTGTGCGTGCAGCAAGTATAATCTTGGTCCAACAACCCAGGACTACAAAAGATTCCAAATTCTACATAAGGGCATGAAGTTCACAGTAAACTTGGATAAATCCAGCTTTTCTTGGTGGGTTTAGGCCCCACCCACCCACTCTCCTCCAACTCTGCCTCTTGGATGTGAGACTGTGGTAAGGATGCTCTCAGTGAGCGCCAGGGTCAGCGGGTATGTGGTATGTGATCATCAACTGACTTCTGTCTGTGCCAGCGTTGGCTGTAGTGACGTCATCCCCGCCAGCCTGCCAGCATCTACATCTTAGACGTCTGCAACTCTGTCTGGGGGTCATAATTCCTTGCACTAACCTGCTGCTTCTGATGCCAAGCGCCTGCCACGCCTCTGCCTGTGTGAAATTTTTGGAAGAAGTACCCCATGACTCTAGTGCTGAAATATTTAGAGTTTTGTCATCCAAGTTAGTCTTAATTACTTCCTCACTATGCCGAATCCTGTTGAAACAGCCCAGTGAAACTGGCTCTTACATTTGTCAGTTTTGGTGTAAACTTTGCTTCGGGGCACTCAAAAGCTAAGGCTCTAGCAAGCTACTGACTAATTTTTTTAATGTTTTATTTATTTTTATTAAGAGGTAGAGAGGAAGAGAGAGCTCCTATTCTCCGGTTCACTCCCAAATGCTTTCCCCCACCAATGTTCAGTAAAGTAGGTGTAAAAATAATATCTGTAAGGAGTTCTGATGGAAAACTGGGGTGCTGTGTTCAACATGGAGGCCCTGAAGAGAAGAAAGAAGTGAACAGCGGCAGCAGGCCAGAGCTGGAGTTGAATAGGACAGGAGCTCAGAGCACTGGCCACGGCAAGGATACAGAAACCCCAGAATTTTCAGAAAAGTTCAGCAGCTGGGCTTCCCAAAGAACAATGGATAAAGATCTTGGCCAATTTTATGTGAACATCAAAGGGGTAGGCCACCTCGGCTACGTCAAATTACACACTCATATCCATACTGACACCATGTGGCCATGGAGTACATATTTAACCTTCAGTTCTTAAAAGCATATTGCATATCTACTTCATAAACACGTGTGCATCCCCTGGGTTCTTCATGACTGGTTTATATCATGTTCTGTGTGCAAGTAGGATTTGTAAATGGCACAAATAGGGGTGAAAGGATATCACAAATGATACAATCAAAAGATGAAATTACCTTGTAATGTTTAATGAGTTTGGCACAATGTAACTGGGACAAAATACAAAATTCTGCAATTATGTTCCAAAAAAATATGTGTATGGGTATGGGTTAAAGGACACTTGCTTAATACCGCACATGAAGAGAGGCCCTGGACAAGATAATAGGAGCATTCTGCTCTGAAGTTAGAACTAAGTTTTAATCTCTGCTATATCACTTACTAAGCAACAATTCTGGTAACATTTCTAAGGGTAACTTGCTTCAAATGTAGAGTGGAGTGATGATGATAGCTCCTACTTGGGAGGTTGTTGACAGCATGAAGTGAGATGATGCATGGAAAATGCTTACCCAGCACTGGCACAGGAAGAGTAACTACCACATAGCAAATGCTTAATAAATGTCTGTGTCTGCGATGGTCGCCCCCCGATCCCCACCCTACAGGGGTTGATCTGCCAATAGGACATGGCAGAATTGATGGTGCATAACTTCCAAGCTTAGGTAATAGAAAACAGGAGATGGATATCACTCACCCTGTAGGAGGCAACGTCCTGTGTGGAGAGGCCCACTTGGTAAGGAGCAGAATTCCCCTGCCAACAGCTGTGTGCGCGAGCTTGGAAGTGATCCTCCAATTCCAGTCAATGCTTCAGGTCCGCAGTCCAGCCAACGACTTGTCTGCAAACTTATGAAAGACTGAGCTGGAACCATCCATCAAAGCCACGCCTCAGAATCTGTGAAGTAATAAATGTTTTAAGCTGCTAAATTTTGGGGGTAATTTGTTATGCATCAGTAGAAAACTATACAGCAAGTGCTTTGCAATCATAAGCCTGGTTACTGTTACTTGACCACAAATGTGAACCATCAGTAATTGCTTTAAAAAAAATTTGCAGCATTTTAATAGACTGACCTAGTCACATAAAGTAGGATTTTTCATTGGGTGAAAGCACTTTGGGACATTTTTGCAACAGGAATTTTGACCAAATAAAGAGGAATAGCTAAGAGAGTGATGGAATTTTAAATTATACTATTTAAGAAACAAGTGGAGGAACAGGATAATACATGATTTCAAAGACATGAAAATGGAAAGGCACATTAACATTGCAGATCTGCCACACACGAAGTGGGAAGATAGCTTTCTTTTCATGTTGCTTCAGAAATCTAGTTAGATTAATCGATCAGTTACAGCAAGGTGGGAGCTCAACAGAGGAGAACTTTCTAACATCCGGAGATGTCCAGCTAGAATTAAGGGTGTCCTTGTAGGGTGTGCGTCCTGGAGAGAAAGGGGCTGGCTGTGGTCCAGGTTGGCGACTAATGCTGGGTGGTCTCCTAAGGCCCCCTGCTACTCTCTTCACATGTAAATGCTACTACAAACAGCATATTTCATCAGGAACAGCAAAACCAATCAGTTACTCTCACACTGTTATTTTTATGCTCAGATCCTATGCCCAGCGGCCATGTTTCTAAATACCCACGTCTTTGGCCAGCTTTGTAATTCAGCATCACTACAGGGTCCTTCTGCCCATCCTCCCCTAGGCAAGAGCGTCTTGTCTTTCCCAGTTGACTATTTTGCAGCTTCCTTCTCTTTGTTGTTAGATTAACATATGTCCTCACACTTATAATAATGCTACTTCCTATAGAGTTGCCAACTTTTTGTCATTTTTATAAAAAGTTATCTATTTTTATGAAAGGCAGGGTTAGAGACAGGAAAAGAGGGAGGGAGAGAGAGAGAGAATCAATTTTTCATCCCCTGATTCACTCCCCAAATGGTCACGGCTAGGCCAGGAGCCTGGAACTCCATCCTGGTCTCCAACACGGGTGGGCAGAGGCATAAGCACTTGGGTCATCTGTACTGCTTTTCCAGGCCATTTTCAGGGAGCTGGGTCACAAGGGAAGCAGCTGGGACTCAAACTGGTGCCCCTGTGGGATGCTGGGCACTGCCGCTGAATCACAATGCCAGTCCATTAGTTTCTAAAAGAAAAATTAGATGTTGCTTTCCTGAAAGGAAAATAAGTGTGAATATGTTTGCATGCATGTTATTGGCTGAGTGAATTTTGTTCCCCAAAATTAATTTATTGAAGTCTTAACTCTAGTACCTACGAATGTTACTAAATGTACAGATAAAGTCTTTAAAGAGGTAGTTAAGGTAAAAATGAAGTAAAATGTGTGGGTCCTAACTCAATATAACTGGTACTCTAATAAGATGAAATTTAGGGTGGACATTTCGCCTAGTGGTTAAGATGCCCACGTCCCATATTGTAGTACCTGGGTTTGATATCCAGCTCTTCTGACACCCAATTCCAGCTTCCTACCAATACAGACCCTGGGAGACAGCAGGTGGTAGCTCAAGTAGTTGGGTCCTTGCCACACATGTGGGAGACCTGGATTAAGTTCCCAGTTCCCTCTTCCAGCCCCAGCTCTTGTGGGCATCTGGGGAGTGACCCAGCAAATGGGATCTGTCTACTATCCCTCTATTCCTCTCTTCTGGTGTGTGTGGGGGTTTGGGAGGATGGTTCTCTGCCTCTTAAAGATTTTTTTTAAGGATGAGGAAATGTGGATACAGGCATGCATGTACACAGAAGGAGGACCATGTGAGGACACAAAGAGGTGGCCATCTGCAAACCCAGGAAGGCCGCAGAAGAAACCAAATCTGTCAACACCTTCATCCTGGCCTTTCAGCCTCCAGAACCCGAATCTGCATGTCTGCTGACTACTCAGTTCTGTTACAGCAGCCCCCGCAAACTACGACAAGGTGATCATTACTTATTCTGTCAATGGATGCTGTCTATTCAACAGGAATGAGCCACCGTTTCTTGTCTCGAAGACAACTTTCTGAGCTTGTGACAACAACCAGGGTGCCTCCTGAGCCCTTCACATGTTACATCTCTTTCCAAAACGCACTATTTCTTTGTTGTTCCTTCAGGTATAATGTGTTCTGATTCTGTATCACCAAAAAGTATATTTGAAAGTATAGCAGGAATTGTCTAAACAATGCTAACAGGCTTAAGGACATAAATTTTTAATTCCAAACATCCAGAAACAAAGTATTCCTAGGAGCTTAGTAAAATACTTAAATAGACCATGTTACCCTAATTTGAAGTTCATTTTAACATAGATATCTTCAAGACTCTTTCACTCCAATTTTAAAAACACAATGTTAAGACTTAGGTTCAAAATATGTACTATACAAAAACATGTGCCTATGCCAACATCAAGTTACATGACTATTAATCAGGATTCTTTTTTTTTAACTTTTATTTAATGAATATAAATTTCCAAAGTACAGCTCATGGATTACAATGGCTTCCCCCCCTCCCATAACTTCCCTCCCACCCGCAACCCTCCCCTTTCCCTCTCCCTCCCCCCTTCCATTCACATCAAGATTCATTTTCAATTCTCTTTATATACAGAAGATCAGTTTAGCATATATTAAGTAAAGATTTCAACAGTTTGCTCCCACATAGAAACATAAAGTGAAAATACTGTTTGAGTACTAGTTATAGCATTAAATCACAATGTACAGCACATTAAGGACAGAGATCCTACATGAGGAGTAAGTGCACAGTGACTCCTGTTGTTGACTTAACAAATTGACACTCTTGTTTATGGCATCAGTAATCACCCTAGGCTCTTGTCATGAGTTAACAAGGCTGTGGAAGCCTTTTGAGTTCACCAACTCTGATCATATGTAGACAAGGTCGTAGTCAAAGTGGAAGTTCTCTCCTCCCTTCAGAGAAAGGTACCTCCTTCTTTGATGACCTGTTCTTTTCACTGGGATCTCACTCATAGAGATCTTTCATGTAGGGTGTTTTGTTTTGTTTTGTTGTTGTTTTTTTTTTCTTTTTTTTTTTTCCAGAGTGTTAATCAGGATTCTTAGTTGCAAGTGGCAGAGAAACAACTCAAACTAAGCTTGGTCATAATACAATTCCCATGAATAATGGAGTTGTGCCTCAGTCTCCGGAACTCTGGTGAGGCCAGGACTCAGTCTATATGGAAAGGAGACCCTCGTGCATCCTCAGAAGACAAGACTGACATCATGCAAGAATTGTCACAGCTGACCTCCATGAACAATCCAGAGAAATAAACCGAAGAGTCCAAGAGTGTGTGGCTTCCAGGGAGAGTCCTGCCATAAAGACAGGCAGTTCACCAGTATTTGATCTAGGACTTTAAGCTGTGCTCTCATACTGCATCTCACTTATATGAGTAGTATAGGCTGAAGTGGGACGGGGTGGGAGGTGGAGGCTGACTGAATTCTCCGCTGAGTAGGGGCAGGGTCTGGGCTGAACTGGTGGAAGAAGTGATGACAAGTAGAAAAGGGAAGATATGTCCTGTGATGCCTTCTAGCTAATTCCTACATATCCTTTCACTTAGACATGGCTTCCCAGGTAAGGTACTGCCTTGTTAAGAGCCTTCAAAGCAAACTAGACTTTTCCAAAGACTTCTGAACCCACAGACTAATTATTTATTTAATTCCAATTAGAATTGATTCCCAGAAAGCAAAGAGTATCTTTATTCTGTGTGTAGCCCTAGTACCTAACTAAATACCTGGAGATGTATGTAAAAGACACCCAAATATGTGTTCCCTGACCATCAGGATAACAGTGGAGTTAAATGTGCATCAGTCCAGTCAGCCCTGACAAATCAAGGAGCTGAAGGCAAGACAGAGAAGTAGATGCTGTTCCCTGTAGTAAACTAATCCTGGGACCATCTTGGTTCAGGCTCCCCCGACTCTCTATAAATGCCAGGCATAGCATTGTTCACTGTTGTGTTCTGAGGTAGTCTGAGGAACCAGGCATGATCCTTTCTGTGCGAAGGGCATGATTAAAAAGATAAAAGACATGGAGAACTAGGAGCAAAAGTAATAAGGATGAGAAAGAAAAGGAATGGAAGAAATTGACATTGGTATTAGAATCGGGGGTCAAGGAATTTCACATGCACGTGAAAACAGCACTTTCTTGTGAGCTGCGACCCTTGGGTGATGGGCGGTTCTATTAAGATGGTCACTTTCCTTGTGACAGCCGTTTTTCAGGCTCTCTTAGGCCCATAAGAATTCAGAATCTGCCTCTCCCCTGCTTGGGCTCCCCTATCATCTTGTACGTTTCTCTGGTGTAGTTTCTCACAAGATGTTTATCTGCTCCGATAGGCTCATAATGAAGGCTCTGTTACCCACAGAAAAGCCATGGGTTCTTTAGGCACAAGTTGTGTCTCTGGATTATACGTGTGAAGTCAACTGTGCTGACAACTCCGAGGTGTCTATCTTGACAGTTACGGCTATGTGAGGGTCTCCTTTTCAGATAGAGAGAATCCTGACCTCACCACAGTTCCAGATATTTACCCGTCCTTCAGGGCCCATTTTAAGCATTGGCCACATCTCAAGGCTAAGTGTTTAATTGGTACACTATGGAAGCATGAGAACAACTGTGAAGATGATGATGGTACCAAAGATAGTGGGTTATATTCTGTCTTCCGTTACATGATTAATACAAGGCTGTGCTTGCAACACATACTTAGGATGCTCCTTCATAGACGTTTCTATCTTCAGGGTGCATATATGAAAGTACATAAAAAAATATGTGAGAAAGAAGAAATTAAATATGTTTATTTGGGTGCAAAATATTTTGAAATCCATGTATAATTTGTCCATAGCATGTATTTTAATTATCTTTCTGAGGATTTCTCATAGGTATCAACTTTAAAATGTTTACCCTTTTATTTCCATTTGCCATGAACATTT